TCAAATATATTTATACCTACATAGATTAATAATATTATCTTATATTTAATATGAAAAGAAAAACAAATTTATAGAAAAATACTTTTCTGTCTATGAGCATTTGACGAAAAGATCTATCCAATATACTATAAAATAGTCAGATTTATTTAAATGAATTTATTAATAAAATATTATTATCATTTATAGAAGAACATCATTAATATGATGATAACGTATTTTTATCGGATAAAGTTAATCAAAATAATGATGAAATTCTTCTTGATCGATTAAAACGAAAACAAAAACAAAAACAAAATCATAAGAATTATGATCAACTTAAATAATCAAGCAAATATACTTGAAACACGCTCAATTGAAACTATTTCGAGTATTTTGAAATAAAAAGTTTATGCACATAATTGAGAAGCTAAATATTTGAACTCGTTAATTCGTCGAATAAAAATGAAAGGCAAACAACTTATATTAAAGAGAAAATATTGTAAATCGTGCATAATGCTCGACATTAAAAAGCAATAACGTTCTATGTGGTCAAATGACTTATACTCTGTTTATTGATATTTTTGTTTGGGCTTCAAAATATACTCTTTCAAGTAAAAAAAAACAAAAGACTCGCTACGATGTACCTAAACGGAGAAGTATATATCGACATTTCGACAATTAATTTTGGAAAGTCAATTGACATGTTTAGTAAACAAGCAGAAATCATTTTTTTTTATTTTCTATATGAAAAAATTAAAAAAACTAATTGATTTCTATTTAGATTTTTGGAAAAATGACCAAATTTACTTTTATTATGGATATTATTTCGATATATTCGACTACAACTGTCTGTAGCGACACCTTTTTTGCATTTTGTTTTTAAATAAAATAAAAAAATATTCGAAAAAGAGAAAAAAAATAAAAATTTGAAGAAAAAGACAAAAAAGATAAATATTATTATTTAAATATGAAATAAGTTAATAAAGAATTATGTTTGGTTGTTTGAACGCACGAATACAAATATATTTATATATTATTATTATTATTATTATTATTATTATTATTCAATTATAATTTATATGAGTTAAGTTGACTTAACTTAAACAAGATAAATAAATATGAATATATATATTGTTCGTCATGGAGAAAGTATTTATAATGATAATCCATTAAATGATTCTATTGATTGTCCATTAACATCATATGGAATTGAACAATCAATTAATTTATATAATTCATCATTTCCTAAACATTATTCTTTAATAATTAGTTCACCTTTACGTCGTTGTCTTGATACAATTAAATTATCTAAAATAAGTTCGGATAAATTTGAAATAAATAATTTATTTCGAGAAATTTATTCAGGTTGTAAATCTGATCTTTTATATGATAATGAAACAATTTTAATTGATAATGAACAACAAATAAAACAAAGAATTCAACAAATAAATGATTATTTATTTAAAAAAAAACAATTTAATATATCAAATATATTAATAGTAACACATGCAGATTTAGTTTGGAATTTAACTTCTTATGAAATAGATGGAGAACCTTTTGGTACATGGTTAAATAATGCACAATTATTTTATTGGAAACAAATTTAATTTATTTTTTTTTTTTTTACATTTTTGTGAGTCGAAAATTTAATTTTTAATTTTAATTTTAATTTACTTTTATTTTATTTTATTAGATTTCAAATAAGATTTTTCAACGCTTTTTTCTTTTTTTGTTTTCTTTGATCAATATTAACTTCGAAGTTTTGCTCTTTAATTTAATA